GCCCAGGTCATGGGGCTTCCAAGGCAGCTCAGCTGGTAAAGAACCCGCCTGCCATGCGGGAGGACCTGGGTTTGATCGCTGGGTTGTGAAGATCTCCTGGAGAAGAAAAAGGCTACTCACTCCAGTATTCTTGCCTGGAGAATCCCATGGACAGAGGAGCCTGGCAGGCTCTGGCCCATAGGGTCACAAAGTGTCGGACACAACTGAAGGACTAACACTTTCACGTTTCCGGTCATCTACCGCTGTCCGTTTTCCACGTTGTCCCAGAAAGCAGCTGTTTTCGGCCTGGCTGCAAACACGTCAGTATGCATGGTGACTCGGTTCGATGGCGAGGAATGGAAAATGCATCAGTGTATCTCACACACACAGACACATGCACCCTCACACCGAGGGATTTAATGGGAATCCAGGAAAACCTGACTCCCCACACTCAGAAAACTTTGGCACCTAATGAAATTTACCCTGGCCATATGTCAACCAGTCACACCTCAGCTTCCACAGAGACCCACGTTGCTTCTTGCAGATTGCCAACCTTCACAAAGCGGACCCCAGGTACATCCTTCTCTGTCTCCCTATGGTCAGACCTCCGAGTCACACGCCAGGTCTTCCAGACGGAGTTTTCAGTACGACACAAAAATTCGGACATTCTCAAAGACTTGCCCTGGATTAAGCCAGTGTGATTTTATGGCAAGCATATGAACGCAAAACAGCATTTATTTGGGGGGGGCGGGGGGATGGGAAGACGTGTCCATCTGTCTTTCCCATAAGGCACTTAACTGTGAATTAATGGGTGTAAACTGCTCCGCTTTATGAGCTGAACAGTGAAGGAGGATTTGTTTCAAGGGCAGGGCTTGGGGGGGACTGACCACTTTATACTCCAGGGACCCAGCACATTTGCCCTAAGGCAGCGGGAGGAGGCGAGGGAATTGAGGCTGACTCTCTGTGTGAAGGAGGCATCTCTTCTATCTCAACTTGAGACCCTGGTTCCTTCGTTTTCTGTGCTCAAGTAAAAAATACTTCTCAGTCTAAGCCGCCCGCGTCGCTCACAGAAATCTTGCCTCCCCAGTGACCCTTGGAGAATAGATTCTTTTTTAATGACTCAGCTACTTGGGTTTGAACTGTGCCTATTACAACTTGTTTTCCTTGCTCTCAAAGTTAACACATTTGCACAAAATGGTAAGTTGTTAGATTTTTAAACGAAACGCCCACCCCCTTCAAGAGTCTGTCATAATTCTACCCTCAGAAAGAGAGAGAGAGGGACAGAACATACTAAAGGGGTATCTCAGCACACATTGGATCTTATTACATGTTTACCTAACAACATATTATTCACATCTTTTCACAGCATCTTTCACGTCCAGAGTGTTACCCTTAAGTGGTGGATGCTACTCCGAAGGCAAGCTATTGAATAATTTTCTGTTGTGAACAATCATGGGTTCACCTTTGGCTTTATAAAAATGTATAGCGGAGTTTGGGACGCTGCACATTTAAATCTATTCATATTTTCCATATCTTTGGGTACTTTTCCAAACATTTTCATAAAAGCGGGTCTTTTGAAGTTAATCACTCTATCAAGAAGTATCAGTTCAGTTCGCTCATTCAAGTCCAACTCTTTGTGACTCCATGAATCGCAGCACGCCAGGCCTCCCTGTCCATCACCAATTCCTGGAGTTTACCCAAACTCATGTCCATTGAGTTGGTGATGCCATCCAACCACCTCATCCTCTGTCATCCCCTTCCCCTCCCACCACATCACAGGATCACAAAGAATCAACTCACTGCCCCCAAACTCCTCTATGCTCTACCGATTCTTCCCTCTCTCCTTCCCTCCCAATGTATGTTTTCAAAACACCCCTCTGGTTCTTGGTCAGGTAATTTATTAGACAAAAGGAACATTGGAACAAAGGAAACACATTTCTGGGAGCCAAGGTTTTGCTTGGCTCTCTGCATTCATAGTTTAAAAATGAGACCAATCTGACATTGGTCAGATTTGGCACTTAGGATATCTTTCAGAAGGCCTCCCCCCAAAATAAGTCTATGGCTCTGTACAACCTTTGGCATGACAGGATCCAAGGGAATATTACCAATCTACTTTTTATTATTTAGCTGTCAGCAGACCAAAGGGTATGGATGTGAGAGCTGAATCAAATGTGTTCCTTTTTTATGGCTTAGTAAAGACGCTTACTCCTTGGAAGGAAAGTTATGACCAACCTAGATAGCATATTAAAAAGCGGAGACATTACATTGCCAACAAAGGTCCATCTAGTCAAGGCTATGGTTTTTCCAGTGGTCATGTATGGATGTGAGAGTTGGACTATAAAGAAAGCTGAGTGCCAAAGAGTTGATGCTTTTGTACTGTGGTGTTGGAGAAGACTCTTGAGAGTCCCTTGGACTGTAAGGAGATCCAACCAGTCCAGCCTAAAGGAGATCAGTGCTGCGTGTTCATTGGAAGGACTGATATTGAAGCTGAAACTCCAATCCTTTGGCCACCTGATGCGAAGAACGGACTCATTGGAAAAGACCCTGATGCTGGGAAAGATTGAAGGTGGGAGGAGAAGGGGGCGACAGAGGATGAGATGGTTGGATAGCATCACTGACTCAATGGACATGAGTTTGAGCAAACTCCGGGAGCTGGCGGTAGACAGGGAGGCCTGGCGTGCTGCCGTCCGTGGGGATGCAAAGAGTCAGACACGACTGAGCGACTGAACTGAACTGAGACCAAAGCTATGCAGACAGTGCTGACTCCTCAGGAAACTTTTCAGGAGGTGGAAGGAGCAGATTTGGGGGAGGCTGTGGCCACCAAGCAAAGCAGTGTGGATTCTGAAGCTGTGTTGTAATGGTCATGAAGGACCCTTAACGCTGGGGCCTCACAGACCCGTTCCTTTTCTAGGTGTGGCTGTTTTGTGTGATCCCCTGACACCTATGTGTGCTGCCTGCAGCACAAGAACATGCTTCTACACATACACACACACACTCTTACACACACACATACAGAGTGAATCCTCCTTATCTGCGGTGGCATTATCGTAATACATCACCACACATATCGAGTTAGCGAATACAGAACCACTGTCTCCTAGGCGAAACGCACGGTTAAGTGCCTATGGGCTTCCAGGCACAGCATTTTAATCCACTGATTGGCATTCTCCAATGCTGCTGCGGCTGCTAAGTCGCTTCAGTCCTGTCTGCCTCTGTGCGACCCCATAGACGGCAGCCCACCAGGCTCCCCCGTCCCTGGGATTCTCCAGGCAGGAACACTGGAGGGGGTTGCCGTTTCCTTCTCCAATGCATGAAAGTGAAAAGTGAAAGTGAAGTTGCTCAGTCGTGTCCGACTCTAAGCGACCCCACGGACTGCAGCCCACCAGGCCCCTCCGCCCATGGGATTTTCCAGGCAAGAGCACCGGAATGGGGTGCCATTGCCTTCTCCATTTCCCCATTGGCTCACTGGTTTAAAAAAAAAAAAAAAAGAATCTGCCTGCAGTGCAGGAGATGTGGGTTCAGTCCTTGGGTGGGGAAGATTCCGTGGAGGAGGACATGGTTATTACCCACTCCAGTATTCTTGTCTGGGAAATTCCATGGTCAGAGGAACCTGGCGGGCTACAGTCCATGGAGTCGCAAAGAGGTGGACTCGACTGAGCAACCAAACACAGTTTACAGATACCTTATTGAATACATATTGCTGATACACTAACACTGAACACACACCCATCACGCAATGCCCCTGAAGAAAGCTTATCCCACACCTATTTGCTCCATAAGAGACGTGGCAATCTTAACTACCCCCATAGTTCAGTATCACATCCCAGTTATTGTAAGTGGTGCAATCATGAACCAAGAGCACAAAAATGCAAGCAGCTTTTCAGACCAGGTGAAGGACACCTGTTTAGAGGAAGACGGATAAAATAGGAAGGCGGAGGCCCTGCCCTCAGCTAGAAATGCGGTCGGTCGCCAAGTGAACCCCGAGATCAGTGAAGACACATTATTTAAATGAACCGCACACAAATCTGCGGCCGTGGGTCCACTGAGAGCAGACTGAAAATCTCCACCACCGTGCACATCCATGGAAGACTATCAGCACACTGCAAGGACGCACTTGGGGGCTGCAAACCTACAAATGCCGAACCAACAAATAATCAAGAGTTCACAGAAGTGTGTCTTTTCTGCAACAGACTCTGTGAGCTCTTTGAGGGCAGGATGCACGCATGGCCCATCCTTGCTTCAATGAAAACAGCATCACACCCAATCCTGGCTAACTCACAGATTATTATTTTCAAACTTTAAATAATTATAGCATTCTTTTTTTTTTTAACCTGAAATCTGATAAGTTTGATAAAAGTGGGCTTTTCTCTGCTTGATTTGTGTCCTTCTCCTCGCCCTTTTGGGAAGGTTTATCACGAACTGAACAAGACGTTATTACAAACGGACATCCACACTTATAGCAGTCATGCTTTTGAGATTCTAGACTCTCAGGTCAGTGTGTTTCTCTTGACTCAAAGCTGACTCACTCCCCAAGCGCAATCCCAGTGAAAGGCCATGATAATTCCTCTCCTAGAAAACCAGAGATCATCATGTTTGATTCCCATCCACGTGTAATTCCTGAGCTGTCTGCAGTGTGAAAATGTCTGATATACAACCGTTGGTACCGCCGGGATGAACACTTCACCACAAACTGCAAGCTCTCCGGTTGGGGGTTTCAAATGCCCCCTTTCCCATCGGGAATTATTTGGGAAAAGCGCCTCCTGGAAGCAATTCATCTCTGCTCTACGTGAAGTCGTATGAGGGCGAAGATACATGACTTATAGGAATCTGCACTCAGACTTGCTTCTGATATAACCATCCACGTAGGAGGTCTTTCGGAGCCTTTTCAACGCATTTTTGTCATATAATTCGCCCCTGTGGGAAGCTTTTCAGAGGGCTGTGCTTCAACACCTGGGGTCTGATAATGTTCAGCGAAGCAAACTCACAACTTAATCTATGTTAGCACCAAGTCTATCGAGTCTTCAGGAGACGTCGCCCCTGGCTGTGGTGAGGACGCGGGTGACGTAGCCCACGGCTGACACCCATCCATCAGCCCTCTGCTCTCCGCCTCCTCTGAGGGCTGAGTTAGAAAGTGTTCCCACAGATCTGGGCGGCGGCGGAGGGGCTCCAGAATCTCCACACGGGCATGTGGCCCTGTTCACAAGCCCGATGTTCTGGAAGAGATGCTGATGCAAAAGTGTGACCACCACCCTCTCCATCCCTGGGACAGATGAGCTCCAAACACTGCCCTTCTCTCGTCTCCCAGAAACCCTTAGGAGGAAGCATCTGGGGTTTCCTGGCTTGAAATTCGAGGACTCAGTGGTGGCTAGTGATACGTCCCCAAGGAGGCTGTTCCAACCAGGGAGAAGGAGGGAAGATGGGAGGCTTATGAGACCCAGGCTGAGGGGTGACGCGGTGCTGGGCTCTAAAGTGGTCCTACTGCTTTCCATTAGAGCCCTCTTTCTGAGCAAGGAGCCTGGCAGGCAGCTGCGTCCTGGGACTAGAGCCCGTTTGATGGGAGGCCACTGAGCCACAGGGCATGTGTAGCAAAGACCGCTTCCCAGTCCCAACCAGGGCAGCCCTGGCCTTTGAAGATGCCCACAGACACCACTGGGATCCAGGCCTCAAGGTCAGGCTGACCCGGCCCCCTGAACTACAGAGCATGGCATGCTTTAGTTTCCGCCATGTCCCACCCAGTGGGAATGAACCGACTTTCCGGAAGAGCAATGAGACAGTTCCTAGGCAGGCCCGAAAGAAACGTTCTTTTGATGCAGATGGATTCGAACACTCACGCCATCACTGAAGACTGCTATGATCTGGGCATTACTGCAGGACATCTGGGCGGAAATACGGTCCTGCTAAGAATGAACACTGATGAGATGTTTGGCCACTCCGTCAGTTCAGTTCAGTTCAGTCGCTCAGTTGTGTCCAACTCTTTGCGACCCCATGGACCGCAGCACACCAGGCTTCCCTGTCCATCACCAACTCCTGGAACTTGCTCAAACTCATGTCCACTAAGTCAGTGATGCCATCCAACCATCTCATCCTCTGTCGTCCCCTTCTCCTCCCACCTTCAATCTTTCCCAGCATCAGGGTCTTTTCCAATGAGTCAGTTCTTCGCATCAGGTGGCCAAAGTATTGGAGCTTCAGCTTCAGCATCAGTCCTTCCAGTGAATATTCAGGACTGATTTCCTTTAGGATGGACTGGTTGGATCTCCTTGCAGTCTAAGGGACTCTCAAGAGTCTTCTCCAACACCGCAGTTCAAAAGCATCAATTCTTTGGCACTCAGCTTTCTTTATAGTCCAACCCTCACATCCATACAGGACTATACATACATGCCCACACTGTATGCATGGCCATTTCAGTGTTAGTTTGCAATAAAATGCTAGCGGAGCAAACACTCACCACATACCCTATAAAGGTCAGTCTAGAAACAGGAATAGTGCGATCTGCCTTCCTCTTCATTCACTCTCTATAAACAATTCACCACGAAGGAAGAGTATAAGACACTCACCATATCATTTTTGTTTTCACTTACCTTTCAGATTCATTTAGTTTACCGTTCATATGGATGGAAGATCAAAAGCAGAATTGTAAACTTTGTTTTTAAGAATTTCAGTCTTTACAATTCAAGCTTGTTTTCATGTCTAAACTATAAATGCTTTCATGGAAGAATCAACATCCTTCTACAGTCTAAGTGGAAGGTAATGTTAAGTCTGTAGCATTGCAGATTGTATTTTAAGGTGCTCTATCTTGATAACAATAGGTTAACTGCAACTTTCTCAATTTGTTGTTTTGTTTTGTATTTTGTCAACCTCAAAGGTTAGACCATTGCTACTTTTGCCCCCAAAAGCACGTTGCTCTAAGAAATCTTTAGATAAATCTGTCTTTGTTCTTGTCAGGAATGAAAAAGAGCTATCAAACACACTTAAGCATTCTAAAATATATTTCAGGAGGTCAAATTAATTCTCAGCTGTGATTTTTTTTACAAGGTACACATTTTCCTTCACTGTTTTAACTGGTTAGCAGTAAATAATAGAAAATGTTATACAGAGAATTTTTTTTCCTTAAAAAGATTTGACTAATTGACTTTGAATAAAATAGTTTACTTCAATCAAGTGATAAACACCCATGAATTAAATCTACATGGAAGAAAAGCAAATGAAATCAGCAAAGCCTAAGACGAATCACAATCTAATACATTTTAAACCCTTTCTCCTACACTGAGTAGGTTGGACAAGAAAATAGGATGTGATGGGAAGAAATTCAGCTGGAAATGGAGCTGGGAAACTGAGGCCTGAGTCCCCAGCTGTTAGGACCTCACTGTGTACATCTCTGTGATGAAGGAAGTGGCTTAAAGGACTTGGCTCTGACCCAGAAATCTTCACTTACCTCCTTCCGACCTCGATTCAAGGGTCTCCCTCACGGAGGAAGGAACACTTATTCTCCACGTCTGTGTCAAATGAGCTACTCCTTCAAGTCCAGTAACAAGACACGCGGCTCACTTTTCACAGATCACGTGCTTAAAATCTGTCTTTACCAAAGAATACACATTCCATAAGGGAGGAAATGACCCTTCACTCCTTTTCCCCCCCAGGGATGACCCCAATCTTTGGCGCAGACACTTAACAAACATTCATTGAAAGATGGCTACGTGAATTAACAAACACCAACACTTTTAAAAAGCCCTTCCTTTTTCACATTGAGGAAACGATCTATGTAACGTTTTCCCAGATAATCAACCACACGCTTTTAAATCCCTTTGTGAACCTGGAAGGAGGAGGACCGTCTGTGGACCAGGAAGGAGGCGGGCTCTCACCAGACATAGAATCCACTGTCGCCTCGATCTGGAACTTACAGCTTCCACAACTGTGAGAAAGAGTTGCCTGTGGTTTATAAGCCACTCAGACTGTAGTGTATTCTATTGTAACAGCCGGAAGGAACTAAGACAAGACTTTGGCAGCACAGCCGGTAAAAGAATCCACCTGCTAATGCAGGAGACCCAGGTTCAATCCCTGGGTCGGGAAGATCCCCTGGAGAAGGGAACAGCAACCCACTCCAGTATTCTTGCCTGGAGAATCCCATGGACAGAGGAGCCTGGTGGGCTACAGTCATGGGGTCGAAAGAATCAGACACGACCGAGTGACTAAACCACCACTACTATCTTTCAGAATAGCCCTTGTATATACTCTTTAAACTGATGCAAGATGCAATGAATAACCTTCGAAAGTGTACAGTGTTACGGAGCTTATGAACAAAATGAAAACACTGACAGAAGATCACCTTGGTCACTGTGCTAAGCTGCTTCAGTTTTGTCCAACTCTTTGAGACCCCACGGACTGCATAGCCTGCCAGGCTCCTCTGTCCATGGAGTTCTCCAGGCAAGAATACTGGGGTGGGTCGCCATGTCCTCACCTTGGTTATTAGTCAAACGTTATTCCAAGTTGTTCTCACTAAAAACATTCTGTAAGTTCAACATGAACTATATATATATATACATAAATAACTGCTAGGCAATTATTTACAATTACCTTCCTGGAGAATGATTTAAAAAGTCAAATGGTACTTTATCCCCAGCTTTTAAAAGAACAGGAATAATCAGTTCGCAACGGCCATTTCAGCATTTCTAAGGACTGAACTGATTAGGTCTTTGAGGCTTTCATTTGCTTTTTGGGATAATCATATTCAGAGGTCAGAATTTTAACCATTGCTTTTAGAAAGCTCGTTTAATTCACTTCTACAATTCACTTCTATAATTGAAGTAAGAAGATGGGGAAGGCTAAACCACACTCCACACAACCATTCATCACTGCGTTCAGTACAAGTGATGTGGCCTGGAGTCTGAGAATGCAAGGAACCCAGAATCTTAAAGATTTGACCTCTGCCGATGCCACTTACAAATACGGGGCCTACTGATCTTTCAGCAAGGTGTTGGAGATGGAAATACAGCTGCCTTACAGTCATCACGGATCTTCCACTTTGTCTATTTTAATGTGATATATTTATATAGATGAAATCATATATGTTATCGTATATATAACATGCATGTGATTATATATATATGTTTTACTTAAATAAAATAGTCAAAGTGTTAGTTGCCCTGTTGTGTCCGACTCTTGGCGACCCCGTGGACTATAACCCGCCGGGCACCTCTGTCTATGGGATTTTCCAGGCAAGAATACTGAAGTGGGTTGCCATTCCCTTCTGCAGGGGCTCTTCCAGACCCAGGGATCAAAGTATATATGTAAATAAAATCCCAGAAATGATATGTATACATATGTGTGTGTGTGTGTGGTTGTACGTATAAACTACATACAGGATTTTGTCTGTAACCCACTTTTACAGGCATCTTTTCGTGTCTAACATTATTCACACAAGAATACAAACACTGTCCAAGCCTTCCTGCATACTTGGTTCTTGCTTGTAATCTTCTGAAGAAACAAGGAAAACCACACTGGAATGCAATCAGGGCATTTAGAGTCCCCTGGAATGCCCAGAAATTTCCCAGCAGTTTACTGCCAGAGGCTCAGAGAGAACTCTGCCGTGGGACACATACCTATGCGTCTAGCGTTTGTTTCATTAGTAACTAAAACTATTCGGGACATCTGACACAAATCTACAAAGTAATACAGTGTTACTATGAGTATTTACTTAAGCCCATAGCTAATCTTAGGAGACTTATCTTGCAAAGTGGCAGAAGAATTCAAGATACGATCATGTTTGTGAACCTGTGCTGACTTACGTAATAGTACTGCTGACTTTCAAACACCTGGGAGAATAATATTTTACAATGAAACCATTAAAATCATGTATCCTTAGGTCCCAGCACACGTGTTGACCATATTGAACACGCTAAGGTCAGATGCTGTTTCTGACTATTCTGCAAAAGGAGAAAAAATTCGGCTTATTTGGTGAAACCAGGAAGTCCCGAAGCAGAGTTGTATGTTATCCGATAAAAGTGAATCCTCTAGATTCCACTGCAGAGAAAGTTCAGGCTTGTTCACTGCTCACCAAATGAACCATGCATCAATAAATGGGAGCAATGTTACAAAACAGGGCTTCCCGGGTGGTGCTTGTGGTAAAGAATCCATCTGCCAATGCTGAAGACATAAGAGACTTGGTTCGATCCCAGGGTTGGGAAGATCTCCTGGAGAAGGAAATGGCAACCCACTCCAGTATTCTCGCCTAGAAAATCCCATGGACAGAGGAGCTTGGTGG